ATCAAAATACCAAACTTCTCCAATATTCCCCTCCTGATACTGAAACAAATCAATGTGCATTTCTGTAATTCTGTATGTAGGCTCTAGAAGTATTAGTGGACCTCCTAGTTGTTATCTTCTGTGCCACCAATAGATTTTTACCAGTCCATCTCTTATGGTCATGAATTGACCACCTGTTTTCTCCCTTCTCTCTATATATCCTTTGGATTCAATTCCATATCACCTCGTAAGTCACCCTCCAATAACAAGAGAAAATGCCCAGATTTAAACCATTCTACTTAGTTTTGCTACTTCTCTCCTTCATCCTTGCAGAAGCATATTTTGTCCAAGGTCTACACCTTTCTTCTACTACTATTTTTTCTACTTCAAAAAACCGCTCTCCTGCCCATTTTCCTATTATAGAAAGTGCATTTCTGAGATTTTTAGAGAAGCTGTAATCTCTTTTCCATACATTAAGATATACAATTTCATTATGATGTTAATTTTGCAGGGTCTAGAACTCAAGTACTTCATCCTCATGAACAGAGTATCTCACATTCTTCTTCCCCATTACATTTCAAGGTAAAAATAAAAAATAATAATAATAATAACAGCTGAATTTGTTATCAAATTCTAGGATGTTTATCTACTTTAAATTCTATTAACATTAAAGAATTTTTTCGAGCACAGAATAGGAATACTGAGGGGAAAATGAAGAGGAACTCGAGGATTGGATCAACTGCGCCTACTTGCACTTACAATGAATGTAGAGGGTGCAAATACAGGTGCAGAGCAGAACAAGTACCAGTAGAAGGAAACGATCCAAGGAACAGTGCATACCATTACAGATGTGTTTGTCATAGGCCCTGAACCAAATTATATTGTAAATTGAGTCAGGGTGGTTTATTTGATCAGTGGAGTCAGTGGAGAAGTCTAACACTAGACAGCACTATTTTGTCTCTAGAATTTAGTTATATATGGGGTGTCATTTAGCACATAGCTTTTCGGTTTATTGGTTTAGTTATATCATGAAAATTTCCAGAGAAAAACTTTCTCATGTGGGAGATTAATTCAAGCAGCAAGTACATTCCATTTGCTTGATTTATGTAATTTCTTCTCCCTCCATATATATAGGTTAGATTCATTTGTGCCATGTTTTGTCTCAGTATATGAGAGGAATAATAACTTTAAAGGGTTTGTTCTGCCTAAAATTTAAAATAACTTCTCTATTGTAAAATTCGACACAATGACGAATTTAGCTTTTTCTTCTTTTTTTTTTTTTTCCTTCTTCTAACAAACAAAATTTTACTCAGTTACATTTTCTAAAATTCCTTCTCTAACTCAAATTCTGAAAACAAAAAAAGAAAAGAAAGACTGGTTGTTGATGAAGATATCATGAAACTCTCTTATCAGCTAAATTGTCTTAGGGTTTCTAGTGAAAGAAAAAAAAAAAGTGTTCATACAAGTGGGCATCTGTGAAAGTGGTCCCTGAAGGAAATTAAGGCACACAAGGTAAAAAAGGATCACATGGGGGCAGCTTGTTTGGATTCATTCATCTGAAATTGGGAACTCATGACTCATGAGAATATGGAGCAGTACAGAAACAAGAAGGAAGAGGCCAACATGGCAACATGGATCATGCTTATATACAATTGGCCTTTTCCAGTTCTTCTATCTCTTGAGAATATATTCTGTGCCCATTTTACATTTTGAGTTAGTACCTGTGAACATCATAGGCGTGCTCGATTCTAAAATCATCGCTTTGTTGTAATAGATTTTAATCTGAATATTGATTTATTACAATTTATTTTCTTTCTTTTTTGGCTGGAATATTATAATATATTTTTAAGAAGTATTTTTTAAGTTAAACGATAAGAAAAAAAAAAGTAAGAATGTTTATGAAATATTTAAATATACTCTTAATGAATGCTTCTTATGTGTTAATTCTTTAAAATTGCAAGCATAAAATTATTTAAATATACATTTAATGAATTCTCTTTATATATTTATTCATTAATGATATTTAAGTTTAACTAGCATTCTTGGACTATTTTTTTGTTTTTCGCATTGAATCAAGGCTCAAAGATGGCCATGGTTATGGCCACATAAGCATTTGTTAAATTCACATAAAAATATTGTAAATTTATTTAAATTAACTAATTTTATCAATTTATAACTAGTTAAAATGTTTGAAAATATCATTTTAGTTAAAAAAAAAAAAAAAAACCCTAGCTAGCCACCTCTCCTCCCCCTCTCTCTCACCCTCATTCTCTCCCTCATCTCTTGGTTTTTATTCCCTCCTAACAGTCGTCTCTATCCCCCTCAA